CAGACAACTTTCCAAGGCTGCTCAACAGCACAAACTTTCACTGAAATTAAGGGCTGTCTCAAGCACCACCACACTTCAGGGTACCAAGAAGAGCGAAAAAGTTTTTTCTGGTGTCTAATGTGAGCTCACAAACCTCAGACTGTGGCCACTGAACTTCATTAAGTTGCCTGCCCCTACTAAGACTGGGGGTCCTTTATCTCTGTTACTGCCCTGCAGGTGGGCTGCTATTAGCTCACCCCTTAACAGCGGCCTAGACCACACAAGCCCAGCTCTCTCAGTCTCTCCTCGTAGAAGAGATGTTCCAGTCCCCTCACCATCCTCGTAGTCCTAGCCTGCTGGCCTTGGCCCGCTGGGTGGTTTATCTCATTTGCAGTAAGAGTTCTTTTTTGGCTCCTACTCGGCTTGACATCTACTGTAACCCCACGTCCTTCTCGGCAGTGCTTCCATTCAGCCAGTTGCTTCACAGCTGGTACTGGGGCAAGGGACAATTTCTTTCCAGACACAGAACATCGCAGTTCTTGCTGAGCTTTGTGAGGTGTCTGTTGGCCCAGATTTTGCTATTAATTTAGCCTAGATTATGTTATTAAATCAAGGCCATTTGTAAAATTGTCATGCTGTTTTGATCAAAGCCCTATTATATTCAAATGAAAAATTAGGAACTGGAGTGGGCTTTGAAAAGCCACTGTGGGTTTAAGTTATGGGATTTTTGGTAGAAGTAGCTTTAAAGTATATGCATGCTATTTCAAAATTATGTATGTGTTCTTCCATTAAGTTTTATGTTTATGGAAAATTTAAATTTTCAGTCAGAATAGAAGTACATGCAAAACCAGAAAATATTATCAGTTAGAGATTATTAAGTCAATGGACATGAACATATATCTAAAATGAAGCAGCACAAAAACTGACAGCAGATAAAGCATGGGATGGAGGACCTGTCATGCAAAAGCCTATCATTAAAATGCATTTAAAATTGCCAAAGCTCCTAATACAGCTTTATCCATCATACAAACTTGTTTGTTATGCAGACAAAAGTCTGAGCTTTGAGGTTTTTTCTCCTCCATTCTCCTTCCTACATTTCTCTGTTTCTCCTTTTTTGTATCTTTTTGGGTTTGCCTCCTGTCTAAAAAAGCTGTTGATTAGGTAGTAGAGAAGAATCCACCTATTGCTGTACTCTTAGAAATACTGAAGAAAAGACAGCTTAGCATGAAGCTTGTAAATAATTTACATATTTTGGAGTGATTCATAAGACCATGTGCTGGAGGTGTAATTTCCCAGCAGTAAAATTCAAGCAAAAGAGATCACCAAAAGGCAGAAACATATTTATCATTCTCTGCTTCTTCTTCCTGTCAGTTTATATTATTTTCTCTTTAAAGGAGGGAGCACTGGACTCAGGAAAAACAGTTCAAGATGAACTTTTCCCCCTTTTTATTCTCCAGAAGGAAAATATAATACATCATTAATGCAATTTTAAAAGACTGTCAAACAGACATTTTCTGTAACAAAATAAATTATATACAGCTGGAAGAAAAAAGAATATAGGAAATGGTTTAAAAAAGCCTCACATTTTTCTTTCAAACTATTTAATTATTTTCTTCTCTTTTATAAGAATTTAATGAAAGGTTAGAAAGATTTTTTTAAATTATTGTTGCTACAATGGATGAAGTCAGCAATAACTTGGCATAAAGCCATGGGGCATACTTAACAATTACAATATTAAACCTTTTTCACTGAACTAGAGAAATCTCCTGATAAACACAATAAAGCCAGATTTATGAGTCGAGAAAAGATTTCTTCAGTCTTGCAGGTAAATTATGTTGGCTATATATATGTTTAGATTAAAATTACTTAAAAACAGAAGTGTTCACTGTCTTGTAGAGTCTCAGACAAAAGATCCAAGTTAAAGAAAGAAAAGTTTGAACTGATATATCTGATAAGAGTAATTGGCCAGCATCACAGATTTTTAATGAATGACCTTAAGATACCATTACTACAGACCTCCAAGGATGGAAAAGCTAAGACGTTACTGGCAATGCTGTGGTAAATAGCAGAGGAAAATATAGAGGGTCAACCTAGATCAACTCAAGAGGTCATCCTTGGCTCTACTAATATGTAATTCTGTGAAAGTAGATTGCCTTTTCAAGCAATGTTTCTTTCAAACAGTATGGTTAAACTGGAGTTCATTAAGTGACAGAAAAAAGTTCTACCTTTAAATGAGATATGATACATGACTCTAAAAACAGGCTGCTAACTTATTTTGAACTAACAAAGACTAAATCAGCCAAATTTTTCCAGAGTACCTTTAATTGTCCTCTAACATCACAATATTTAAATGCAGACAGGAAATGGGAGTCATCTTCTTCACAGCTTCAGACTAAGGACTGACACAGTTGGAGTTGCTGGCATGTCCCGTAAAAAAGAGGAGAATACTCTTTCCAAAATGAGCATATTCTGAATGTCTTTCTCATCCAAGAAAAAGGTAGAAAAATCACTTTACATGTTAATAAGCCATAGAGTTAGACAAACTTAAATGTACGTTTTATTTATTAAGGTTCTCAGAAAAATAAAAAACAATGCAAAATCTGAGTTGCACAAATCCAATATATGGGTTTTCTTTTTAGTCCACTTAAAATGTGCCTAGCTTTTTGTCTGGAAAGAAATTACATGCAGAACAGAAAGAAGCCATGGCTTCTTTTTCTAAATTCTAAAATACTGTGTTGTCCTATCACACTCCCACCCATCTCAGCGAGAAGGTAGATCTTCCTTGGGCAGATATACCAATGTGTGCTTGGAAAAGGAAGTTATGAAATACCTTTTTTACATTTTGTACATTGAATAATTATAATGTTATATCAAAGAGTCTCTGAACACTTCACTGATGTTTTCTTTACTGTGCTTCAAATACAAGCAAAAATACTGCTCTTTTGCATGCATTTATACAGCTCCAGAAGGCTTCACATAAAAAGACAAGCAGCATAGTAAAGCTGCAAGGGACCAGAGAGACACTAGACCATCTGACTATAGCCTTCTGGGTAAGCTGGTAAAGCGGAGAGATGTTTTGAAATGGCCTCACACCCAAATACATGACAGGCAGGGAGATGCTGCCTCATTTAATGGATTGCTCCTTACCTGACGAAGGGTAGAGACGCTAGATGCATTTCGCTTTTCCTCCCATTCCCCAAGGCATTTGGTTCGAAAGGCAGTATGGCCCAGCAGTCAGTATATATCTGGTCTGACAGAGACCTATGCTCTAATTCTGCCTCCACTGGTGACAGCCTCTGTGACCAGGAACAATAGTTTCGTACTTCTGTTTCTGTAACTGCCATTTGTCTGTCTGTTCTGATAAAACAGAATTGTTTCTTATGACGTGTTTGCACATGCTTAGTTATGGTGAAGAGCTGATTTTGGCTGAGGATAAGTGACATAAATCAAAATAATCCTAGATCTACAGATCTGACATGCTTTTTTCAGGCAGTGCATTCATCTTTCAGCAAGATTTCACTATTTATTTCTTAGCAGAAACTGTCAGAACTATAAATATCTCAGTGTTCCTGATTTGACCTAATAGAAATATCATTTGCACTCACGGGAAAAGCTGTTATTACACTGGTAAAAGACATTACACTGTTCTTTATCTTCATTTAAAGCTATTTCCTTTCCACAGTTTAGGACTAGGAGCACATACGTTTGAGCCATCAGTCCAAATAGGATAGCAATAGACAAAAATAAATGTATGAACCTTACACTTAATTTGTCCTTTCTTACTTACTTTTGTTTCTAGAAATACTTTCCTTTTAAAGAGCTTGTCATGCTTTTTTCATCCTCTATGTTAAAGAAGGAATTAACGAAAAAAGGAATTAAGTGCATTGCCCAAAGTCATCTGCTCCGTCTGGCAAATTCAGGACCAAAAGTTGGCTGTCTGGTCTTTGATGTTTATGTGCAACCTAGTAAACAATACAGTATTCCTTCTGCTTTTCCTGCCTCTTTACATGAGGCATTTTTGTAAAGCCACTGCTCTAATCCTCTTTTTTCTTCTCCTTCAATACCTTTCATTGTCTTTGTAATCACTCTGCTCTGACACTTCCTGCTTATTCTTTCTTGCGTATTTCAGTTTATGATAAAGACGTGAAGAGGCAGAAGGATCTGCAAGGCTTGAAAAAGATCTTCTGTGGCTTTTGAATTCATTCAGTATAACTCTTCGGGTAGTGTTGGGGTTGATGTAGCTTGAGAGTTAGCATGACTAGGCCGCTTAAGCAAAACAGCATAACTGAACAGGCCGCTGGAAAGGACAGCTAAGAATAACAATTGAGAAGGTTCTGATAGTGCACATGATGTGGGTTAGCAAAAACAAGATGTGTTCAAGGATGTGGAGGCAGTCTGTTGCTATTAGCGTTAGTGCATAGTTACCAATCATAAGGGAATATGGGGCGCGTGAACAGCGCGTGATTTATGTCTGTAGCCTATCCGAATAAGCGTGATCGCGTGTGCAGATATGAAAAATGTATATAACCACGCAAGCAGAGCAATAAATTGAACTGACTGTGCATTGCATCAATGTGTGAGTCGTTCCTGTCCCTGCATGGATGCTGAAACTCGTCGGGGTAGAATATGACTGCGTGGTCTATCAGTAATACCTAAGTGCAAACGCAGTTTACATTCCTGTTTGCCTTCCACACCAGGCAAACGCTGCTTGCAGGGGTGGAAGCCACCACCCGTGGCCCACAGCGAGACCGAGAGCTCCACGCACTGCCGCAGAGCAGCGGCTGCACACCTCTGTCACTCAGCTCGCAGGACTGAAGTTGAGATATATGGCACTGAAGAAATTTTTTCCCATGGGAACTCCTTAGGAAGATACTTCTAAGTGATAAATATTTAATGCATTGATATTTGGTGTAAAGTGCAAAATCAATGTGTTAAACACTAAGAGTCCTATGCATGTTCTGTACGGTCATTTGACTGGCCAGATGGGATGGTATTCATTTGT